GAAATGTTCATGCTGTAGAAACCATTGACAAGGCTGGATTCAGACTTCGTGCCAGTTCTTACCTCTAGTGCAAGTGCATTAGCAGTGATGAATACCAGGATATTACTTAAAGCCACTTCCTTGGAAAACTGCCAAGGTAACACCAATCTTCAAAAGCGGAGAGCCCACTGATGTTACAAACTATCGTCCAATATCAGTTTTACCAATTCTGTCTAAGATTGCGGAGAGACATGTTCACAATGCAGTCTACAGCTTTTTGTGCGAAAATGATTTAATCTACATCAGACAATCGGGCTTTCGCTCGAAGCACAGTACTGAAACTGCCTCGATCAAGATTATTGACGATCTGATATTCAACCTTGACAATGACCGTGTCAGTGGAATGGTTTTGGTAGATTATCTTAAAGCGTTTGACATGATTGATCATACCCTGTTGTTAAAGAAACTTGAAGTGTATGGGCTTAATAGGGATTCCCTTCAATGGTTTACCTCTTATTTGAAGGAAATTAAAGACGCCATCTGGTTAAGCTGGGAGATAAACAGTCAAGTGTCGCTATTGTTCGTCATGGTATTCCCCAGGGATCCATACTTGGCCCCTAGTTATTTATCGCCTTTATCAATGACTTACCGCTTTACGTCATTTCATCAAGAATTGATTTGTATGCCTACGATACAACGCTGACTACCAGTACGAACTATAGCTCTTTCAGAAGGTTAGGGGGTACCCTAAACTCGTCAATTGCCGAAATCTTCGATTGGGCAGCTTCGAACATGATAAATTATTAATATGTTAACATGTACAGTAAAGGGATAAAGCAATTGTTGAGAAACTTTGTTCAGCCACCTTAACTTAAGGTTTCCGTTGATTTACAAATTCGCTTTCTGGTAACTTTGGCTATTAAACAGCTTTAGCAGGTGGTTCAACGTATTAGATTGATTTCTATTTTTTGTCTTTTTTCAATACCGGGTAGTTTGCATAGTATCGTACGTTCGCATACTCGTGCCACTCATTTAAATTTTAAAACGAAAAACGTTCACGAAAAGAAATTTTGAAGAAATTTCATCCTCGATGTTAATGTTTCCTTTTAGTGTGTGATAGCTCATGCATATAAATTATAGCAGCCTTATTAAATCTTAAGCGGCAGGTTATTTTTTTTATTCCCACAAAACCTGGGTAATTAGGAAGTTAAAAAGCTTCCCCTGTGCTCTATTTATGTAGCCGCCCAAACGATACGTGTATTTTTGTCATTTTGTGCTAGTTCCATTAGCAAGAACAAGAACTTTGTGCAGAATATTGTTCACGTATTTTCTGTAAAACATTTTTATCCTTGCTGACAAATTCGTTTTGTAAAGATCTCTTCGCTAATTGTATGTTGTGCCATTAACGGAAAGTCAGCAGAAGGTTTGGGTTATTAAGCAACTCCATAAAAATTAGAGAGCCACCCTCAGTGTAGGGGAAAAAATTTGCGAAGGGGGTTTAATAAAAAATGGTTTGATAATTATTTCGGTTTTTAGCGTTTGTGAAAAAAAATCATGTCAGTAAGTAAAATCTTCCCTAACATTCATTGAGATATAGCAGTGTGTGATACTGTTGATGTTTAATAATTGTTTGGAAAGCTAGTATACTGTGCAAATTTCAAAGATAGTAGGATTCAAAAAGCTCTCGATGGTTTTCACTCGCTACCTTTGAATTTTAATTTTGAATTAATTGATTTTTGGCTATGTCGGAGAAACATCGTTTTCATTGTCAGCGATAAGTTTACACGTCCTTTAAAATTATTTTTCTCTGAGGCCTGAAGGTCTCAAAAAGGATAGAAAAAAAGTTCCTCTAAACGGTGATCATTACATTTGAAGATACGTGTTCTTTTGGTGCCTACAACTGGGGCAAATTATACTTCACTGGAGTCCTGAAAAAAATCGTTTTATTTGGAGGCAATTTCTTGATGCTTTATTCTTCTTGGGCTATGGGAGCTAATTTTCTCGTCTACATTTTGTGATGATGAATACCAATGAAAGATGCCACTTTGCTCTAGCTGATGTCACACATTGTGTCATCAATGCGAATGTTTAAAGATTGCAAACACACAAGTTGTTCCAGAGGATCTTTCTTTGCCTCACCACTACGATATTTAGCAGAAAATATATTTTGCTTCTAACAAAAGCATTTAGGTTTCCTTGGGTGAACGAGCAATACCTCAATAAAATAAAAAAAAAATGTGTAATTTGTTACTTGGCTGTTCGGCAAGTAGCTGAGCAAAATTTGAATAATCCAAAAAGAATTAAAATACCAACCGCCATCTATTTTGCGATAATTTAAAGTTTAACTGTCAGTCACATCAGTTTATGCCAAATTAGAATCAGTCAGCAGGACTTCACTGTCGTTTTTTAGCAACCGACTTCCTTGAAAAAAAGGAAGGACTAAGCGATTCTCACGATATCTTATAAAGAGACTCATGGCGAGTTTTGTGCAATAATATTGGCAATATAGAAAAAAAA